ACCCTGCGGGTTCAGTCACCCCACAGCGGCAACTGTGGCCCAGAAGTTCCAGCGCTCGGCAGTGCCCACGTCTGGATGGCATGCCACGCTGCGCCTCTGGAGGCAGCTGGGGCGAAGGTGCGAGCCCATCGGGGCCCTGAGGAAGGGCTACGTCCACGCGACGCCCAGGGCAGGGCTGCGCACGCTGGGGCTGCCCTAATTCGCGGCTGCTGTTAATGTCTATGTCTACTTCGTACATCACATGTGGCCACACGCCAGGGCCCACGAGCCACCCAGACTTTGCAATGATGCAAACAGCCCTCGGGGGCCGGCTGGCCACCACCACCCCAGGTGTGTGGGGAAGGACAGCAGTGCGGGCCCAGGACGAGGTGCGGCTCCAGGCACTCCATGGGATCTCAGGAGCCTGCAACGGGGAGGGGCTTGCGGGTCCCACCTCCACTCACAGCGGAGGAGAACGGAGAAGCTGGCACATCACCTGGCGCCCAACTTGCCCTCCAACCACCGTGGGGAGCCCACCTCCACTCACAGCGGAGGAGAACGGAGAAGCTGGCACATCACCTGGCGCCCAACTTGCCCTCCAACCACCGTGGGGAGAAACCTGAAGCCAGGGTCCCTGGGGCCGCCCGGTCCTCTGGCTGCCTCCCTCTGCCTTACCCTGAGCCCCGATTTTCCAGGCCACCACCCAGCGACACAGCACTTGTCCCAGACCAAGGAGCGTGTGCTCACCTTCTTACCAGGAGGACGTGTGAGTGGAGGGCAGGAGGAGGAAGTGAGGGACACACTGAGAGGAAACAAGGAAATCAGCTCCGCCTTCCAGGAGGGGGCTCTGAAAGTGGGTTCGGGCGCTGCTTTGTTTTGGTCTTAAGGATAAGTAGAGCACTGAGACTTACTTTACGCAGGTTTAGAATGACCATTTGGGGTTCAGGCTTTGTACGGCAGAGGCCAAGTTCAGAGGAAATCGAGTTTAAAGGAAAGTAGTTATTCTTTATGTTTAAGATGCCCCAGTCCAGCCCAAAGGTAGACAGACGGAGCCATCAACCACCACACTGAGTCGGCAAGTCTCTTTCCGGGAGGCACGGTTCTCATCTGTGCATTTGTGCCCTTTTATCCTTCTTCCTGTGTTGGCATTTACATTTTTAAGTGTGACGAGCTGCGTGGCTTGAATTAGCTGACTCAGCACGCGCAGTTTCCTTTGTACCTGGTGGGCTCCATGTGAGGCCCTACCAGGCCTTGGCTCAGGTGTGGCCCACCTGTCTCACCTCATGAAGCACAGGTACAGCAGGCAGGACACGCGGGGCTAGGTGCAGCCCGTGGTCCCCAGCACAGCCTGCCTCCTCAGTGCTTGCAGGGGAAGAGGAGGAGAAGGGGACCAGCGCTGCTGAGAGGCAACCTCAGAGCAAGTGAGCGTGACGAGGGCCACTCAGGCTGCCGGTTACACGGACCTGTCTCGCTCACAGCAGAGGTGGGGAAAGACAAGGGCTTTACGTCTGCACATGGAGGTGTGGGACTGGTGATCAGGGAGTGGGGACCTCAGCCTGTAGGACTGGGGCAGAGGCCACCAGAGTGACGCTCCCTTCAGAGCTGCCCTTACTGTCCTCACTGGACCCCAGGCGGGGACAGACTCAGGGCTGCACCTCCCTACTTCTCTGTCAAAAGATGTCCCCAACGGCACCCTGGCCAGCCTGACCTCCCCTAGGCTCCCCTTACCCAGACCACCAGTGGGGCTGTGTATGGTGTCCAGAGGCCCAAGTGGAGTCGAGGGCTCAGCAGTGTGGACTCTGGGTCTGTTATCACCACACTGGGCAACTGCAGCCAAGCCACGGGACAGGCCTGTGGGCCTTTGGAGGCACTGTGGAGCACTGGGTGGCTCCACACACCTGCCCTCCAGGTGACAGTGCTGGGCAGCTCCACACACCTGCCCTCCAGGTGACAGTGCTTAGCGGCTCCGCACACCTGCCCTCCAGGTGACAGTGCTGGGCGGCTCCGCACACCTGCCCTCCAGGTGACAGCACTGAGCGGGGCTGGAACTCCTGCTTCTCACTCCTGGGAAGCCCCTCTAGCCTTGGCCTCTGTCCTCAGAACACCTGTGACCCAGGGCCCACTTCCCCTTGCCCTGCTCACAGGCCACCCACGGTTGCTGCCTTTGCTCCTCCTGCTCAGAAGACGCTGCGCCCATCCTCAAGAGCTGTGCAACTCGGAGCTGCGCTGCCCCCTCGACCTTGTCCCAGAGTGACGGCCTAGGAGGAGCCCACCCGAGCAGCGGATGCTCCCTGCCAGGCCACGAGGATGACATGAGCTTGTTCACAGGGTGTTCGGCGGAGTGGCTGGCGCAGAGACTGGCCACTAGCCAGGATTCGCTGCAGCGAGCCATCTGGCCCCAAGAGTCCCGCTGGCCCGAAGGCCCAGTGCATGGCTGTGAGGTGGCCGCGCCACACCTGCACAGGACCAGCACCGGATGCCACGCACACGCTCTTCTTCCAGGGAAGCCTCTGTCCCTACAGATCAGAAGCCTCCCTCCAGCCAGGATGTGCTCTGGCATTCTGGTTGAGGGGAGGTATGGAATAGACAGAGACTGGAAAGCGTAACCTCCGTTCTTTTCATCTGTTTTCTCAGAAACATGAGCGTGGGCACGGGAACACCACCGGATGTTTGCTGCTGCTGAAAACGGCTGCATCAGCTTCCTGTGAGGTCTGCTGGGGTCTACCTACCTTGTCTGGCAGGGGCTGCATTCACACAATTTTAGGTAAAACAGCATCTAATATATTCCCCCGCTTTGTGGGGCCTCAAATGTGGTGGAAATAAACATCTAGAAAAATGAGCACCGTCTTAGCTACTTTTCTCTCATCGCAGAGACAAAATATCTGACTCCTAAAGTTAAAGAGGTGAAAGCTTAGTTTGGCTCACAGTCTGCAGCGTTTTCAGTCCCATCATTCGGTCGGCACCAAGGCAGGGCCGGGCACTGCAGAGGGGAGACGTTCATGGTGGGCAGGAAGCAGCACAGCACACACAGGGGACAAGGTGACCCTCTCTCTGTCCCTTATGCTGCGTCCAGGCTACAGGATTGGGGCGGTGCCAGTCCAGTCGAACTGACTCGGTAACCATTCACCCTTAAGCCCACAGCCTTAATCCTAGCATTGCATTCAAGCGCACTTGAGGTCCAGCAGCCCCTGGGAAAGCCACCTGCGACGGCACACAGACATCTGGACACAAGCTGCAGCCAGCACTCCACACAGCACGCTACTGCGGCTGCCTGCATTCGAGCAAGGTCACTGCCCTGACCTTAGCACACTCGCTCAGCCTCAGGGTGCCCCAGTGCAGGAGGCTGGGCCCGCCGCCGAGCAGCACGAGCCCTGACCCCGCCTACTCCTTCCATGATACGGGGGTACAGCCATGGCCGCTGGTGTTGCTGCTGTCGGCCACACAGCCCACCAGCACTGCTGGCAGCAGAGTGGGAAAGGTTTACAGCTGCTGCTGCCAGGCCGCGCATGGCCTCGCGGTTCTGCTGAGTGGTAGTCACCAGGGAGACTGAGTGCGCGGGGCACGGGCTGCCGGTGCCGCCTCAGCCCATGAAGTTTACAAGGGCACCTTAGGGCAACAGCAGCTGGGGAAGGAGAGGCAGAAACAGGACCCCGCTGCGGGGACACCGGGCCGAGGCAGTGCCCCGGGGAGCTGGGATGGACGCCCAAGGTCCTGCTGGTCACCCTCCAAGCACAGCAGGGGCACCTGAGGAAGGCGACTTGTCCGAGAATAGTGGGCCTCTTTCTCCCAGAGCACAGCCTCCCTACTCCCAAGGGAGCTCGGGCTGTCTTGTGGTGGCGTCGCCCCTCCAGGACGGGAGCCAATGCTCCCATCCCCTGGTCCCTCAGAGCCGGAGCCAGTGCCCAACACCCAGGAGGTTTGCTGTAAACACCTGCTCAGGAAACGCACCATCAAGCACTGAATATCAGCATACAGTGTGAATAAAATCCCACGTAATTAAAGAAAAACTGTCTCCAGTGAGCTCAGCATGATTAGAATGAGAGATGGAAGCTGAAGCGCCCGCAGGGAAGGAGCACAGGCTGCTGCCAGAGCCTGGGTCAGCCCGGCATCTCTGAGGCGGAATCAAAGGGCTGACCCGGGACTCGGTGAGGACACGCTCGCCTCTGGACGCTAAACGGCGCCTTCATCACATCTTTATCCGGCTGAACAAGGAATGCTCGCCTGCTGCTGACCATGGAGCGGTCCTGGGGTCCCAGCATCATCGCCTGGCTGCTGGCAAATTTCTCCCCGAGTCCAGAGCTAAGAAGACCCCAGGGAGACGCAGGCAGTGACCTGGGGAGGCAGGACACACAGGCGGCTGGCAGGAGTATTGTGCGATTTTTGAAAATTAGTGAGCGGTATGTTACCCTCATAAGACAAGGAGGCTTATTTCTTTATAGTCCAAACGACCTTCTAAATCGGCCTGTGTGCGCGGGGATCCAGCCCACCAGCCGACTCACGGCCTCCGCAGGTCGCTGTCACGCAGCGTGCAGCAGTGGCAGGCGCTACAGTAATGGCTAAGAAACGTCCCTTGGAGCCACACATAGGTGCCTCAGTGGAACAACAATCCAGAATGCTAATGAAAGCAAGAGCCAAGAGCATCTGCAGCCCTCCAGAATCAATACCCATTTCTCCTACCTCAGAGGCGTTCTTGGCAATCAGATAAAAAAAGAAAACCAATAAATGCACACAAGTGCGCCAACACTCAGTCAGATGCAAACAAAACATACACATTTGATGTTCACTGGCTACAAAGGATCTTCAGCTGGGCTCCCCATACGGCCGAGACCTGATCCCTTCACTCACTGCAGAAGCACAAATTCCACTTTGACTCTAACTTGCTGCAAATTGAAGCAGAGCTGGCATCTAACCATATTTGCAATTCCCTGCTGACTTTTCTGAATTTTGACTGAACTCATCTCTAAAAAACACACAACCGCCGTGGCTGGCACGCTGACCCTGACAAAAGGAGCCGTCCTCACCTTTGAACTTGTGGAACACGGCCCACAGCTCCGCCACATCTGTGGCAAAGGTGATGTCGGTGTCCAGGACGATGACTCGCTCCAGGCTGGCAGGCAGCGTCTTGGTGAGGACGAGTTTCATGAGGCCGTAGATCCCGGAGTAGTGCTTGTTGGGGATCCAGGACACTTCCGACTGGCGGGCAGGGCCGGGAGGGAGTGGAGAGAAGGGAAATCGCTGTTAATCTCAGCTGCACCATAGTAAACCACCATTATAGATCTAAAAAGTATCCAGCGCAGATGTATTCAATAAACAAGATTTGTTCATATGAAATTTTGGGGAAGAAAATGTATCTGATTCAAGGGGACGAAAAGTAACAGTTATGAAATAAATTATCACACACAAGCAAAGCTCAAGCTGTGACTTAAAAGAACTATTAGAGGAACTCACGCAGCGCCACTGGAGAAAAGCAGATTCGCATGGAGACGACACCAGGCACAAGCTTTGGGCCACACTGGGGGCGCCTTCTGCAACTAGGACCTGCGTGTTCCCAGGTGGGTGCACTTCCCTCAGTTACATTCTGTCCGGTCGGCAGAGGTCACAGAGAGCCCTGGCTTAATGACGGCGTCTGTCCCAGGACTAGGCTGCTAGACGGGCTGGCCACCTGAGGCGGCCCTGCGTGTCGTGCGCACGTCGCCGTGCTCGGAACAAAGGAGTGGGCAAAGCAGCCTCCACCTTGCTTGCCTTATTTATCTCCCTAACTCCCCAGGCGGCACAGTGACGCCTGACGGGGCAGACGGTGGGGCCGCACGACACGCACATGGCCACCTGGCCACGGCCACAGTGCTGTGCTGCAGAAGTCACCACCAGGCTGCTGCCTCGCATGTCCTGCGGCCCAAGTCCACGTTGTTCTGCAGACAGGGCATCCAGCAAGACGAAGCCCGCCGTCGACGGCGTCTCCCTGCTGATGTTTATCATTACCGCAAAGCCACGCTGGATGGGAATCCCCCAGCTGTCTTTCTGCTCTGAGGCAAATGCACCAGGAGGGCCCTGTCATAACCCATACGACACTCTCCCCCGGACAGAACAGGGTCACAAGAAGGGGAGTAAAGGGCATGCCAGGATGTCCACCCCGTGACCCCCATGGCCCAAAACAGAGCATCCAAAGCCATAGGTGGCTGGGGTCAGCAGGAAG